GAAGAAATTTTTGAGGAAGAAATATATAGTGAAGATGAGTAAAAATAATTAAAAATAGTTTTTAAAACTATTCTAAAACTTGAGGACATGTTTTGCAAATAAAAACCCATTTCATTAAGGGTAAAATTGACTTTTTAACAAAAAGCCTAAAATCTTTAAGTTGACCGGTCATTTATGAAAACCTCCCATAAAAATTGAACATGTTTCCTGCGCCAACTTGCATTTGATCTAAATCTGGCCAGAGACCAGGAAGGAGAATAATAATAATAATAATAATAATAATAATAATAATAATAATAATAATAAATAAAACCAGTTCTGCCTCGAAAGATGTTTGGTGAAATCCCCCAAGCGTATGTAATCATTAACAAGTAATAAAGTAGGTGAGTTAAAACTTACCATGAGAAATACACTTTAGTTCATAAACAATATTTTCATTCATTAACTTTTTCTTTTACAATGACAAGTGTATATATATATATATACAGATCCCTATACAATCTGTTAAGTAGGGAAGGAATATCTCTAATTTAGGTAGAATATTAGAGACGTTTATGTATGGTAAGATACCAACTTGGAGTCAATCACACTTTGATTTGTTAACACTCCCCCTCAAATTGGTGCATAGATGTCACTCATCCCTAACTTGCCAAGACAGTCATTAAACGCTCGAGTAGACACGGCCTTAGTTAGAAGATCAATAAGTTGGTCTTGAGATGGAACATGTGCTATTTCAATAATCTTTGCTTCCAGTTTCTCTTTGAGGAAATGCCTATCAACTTCAACATGTTTAGTTAGATCGTGTTGATTTGGGTTGTGGGCAATATCACAAGCTGCATTATTATCACAATACAGTTTTATTGGATTAGCACGTTTAATATGCAACTCATCTAATAAATTTTTTATCCACAATAATTCACATACTGCCTTAGCCATTCCCCTAAACTCAGATTCAACACTGGATAGAGCAACTACTCTTTGTTTCTTGCTTCGCCAGGAACTAGATTTCCACCTACAAAAGTGAAATACCCTGATGTAGATCACCTATCTGTGATTGCTCCAGCCCAATCTACATCGGTATACCCTTTAACCTCCATATTATCTCCTTTCGTAAACATGATCCCTCTACCTGGAGATGACTTCAAGTAGCGTAAAATATGTATCACTACATTCATATGTTCTTTCCCTCGGGGAGTGCATGAATTGACTGACCACACTTAGAGCATATGGCAGATCTGGCCGAGTATGTGCTAGATACATCAATCTGCCAACTAGTCTCTGATATCGTTCCTTGTTTGTTGGGTCTTCTTCCGGATATATGCCTAGTTTCAGATTTTCTTCCATAGGAGTGCTAGCTGGACTACACGTCGTCATACCAGTTTCACTTAACAGATCTACGGTATATTTCCATTGGGATAGGAAAACACCTTTCTTTGACCTCGACACTCAATTCCAAGGAAGTATTTCAATAAACCAAGATCCTTCATTTCAAATTCAAGAGCAAGGCGGTTCTGTAATGCATTCATCTCTTGTGGATCATTCCCCGTTATTATCATATTATCAACATATACAATAAGACATGTAATCTTGCCTTTATTTTGCTTCAAGAAAAGGGTATGATCTGAATTGGTTTGATTGTATCCAAAACTCTTCATAGACTTTGTCAATCTTCCAAACCATGCCCTAGGAGATTGCTTCAGGCCATACAATGCCTTTTTTAATCTACAGACAAGCTTACCATCTTCTGACTTTATATTACATCTAGGTGCAGTTCCATATACATTTCCTCTTGAAGATCTCCATGCAAACATGCATTCTTGACATCAAACTCATGCAATGGCCAGTCAAGATTCACCGTCAGGGATATCAAAATACGGACAGTGTTGATTTTTGCTACTAGTGCGAATGTCTCCATATAGTCAATTCCATATTTTGAGTGTACCCCTGGCAACTAATCTGGCTTTAAATCGCTCAATTGTTCCATCTGCCTTATATTTAACTATGAAGACCCACCTACACCCAACATGTTTCTTCCCATTAGGTAACTTAACCACTTCCCAAGTTGAATTTTTTTGAAGAGACTTCATTTCCTCATTTATTGCTTCCTTCCACCTAGGATTTCTCAAGGCTTCCTACACATTAGTAGGAATAGATACAAAAGATAATTGATTCACAAACGACTTACTTTCCTTTGATAATCTATGATAAGACACGTGGTTGCTCATGGGAGACTTAGGAATAGAATTAAAAACAGGTTCATAGTTTACTCTAGGTATACCTCTGGAAGCTTGATTAGGTAACACTTTTCGAGGAGGTTCCGAATTTACCTGGTATTCGGGAAGAGGATCAGTTTCAGAGAGCAATTGGTTAGATGGTTCCTCATGAAGAGGGAAAATCAATTGCGATACTGGTGAAGTCACTTCCATTTGGTCCTGACCATTTCCATTCCCCCACTCCGCCTCTTCTGGATGTTCACCACCTCCCGTAATATCACCATTTTCCAAAGGAGCCAGAGTTTCATTTGTAATATCTACAATTTTCGAAGAAGAAGTCAAAGTCTGCAATTCATTTTGATTCTCCCCCTGAAGTGGAGACTCGGGAGTAGAGTAGTACATAACATTTTCATGAAAAACGACATCAAGGATCACATACATCTTCCGAGAAGGGGGATGATAGCAGCGATATCCCTTCTGAAGTGAAGCATAGCCAACAAATACACACCGAAGAGCTCGAGGTTCCAGCTTGTTTCTCAAGGGTTTAGGGAGATGAACAAAGGCGATACATCCAAATATTCTAGGTGATAGATTTGGAACATTAGGAGCACTTACAGTTGTGTAGAGAGTATTTGGAATTGTAAAGAATTGGAGGGTAAATGGTTAATGAGATAGGCTACCACATTGATGGCTTCACCCCAGTAACTAGTAGGCATATGAGTACCAAACAAAGAGGCACGAACAACTTCAAGTAAGTGGCAATTTTTGCGTTCTGCAACCCGATTTTGCTGAGGAAAATACGGACAAGTTGTTTGATGTGAAATGCCATGTAATTGTAAATAATGCCTTAGATCCCGATTAACAAATTCTCCATCATTATCAGTACAAAGAACCTGTATATGAGATTGATATTGCGTGGTAATCATTTTATGAAATTTCTGAAACAAAGAACTAACTTCATTCTTTGACTTCATCAAGCAAATCCAAGTCATATGTGTGTGATCATCAATAAAAGAACAAACCAAATAGAACCATTTAAGGAAGGGGTTTTGGTTGGTCCCCATACATCCGAGTAGATCTACATAAAAAGTGCGGGACTTTTATTCAAACTTAATGGAAACGATACACGGTGACTCTTTGCCAATTCACAAATGTCACATTTGAAATCTAAAGTAGTTAATTAAGAAAACAACTTTGGAAACAATCTTTTTAAATATCCAAAAGAGGCATGACCTAAGCGTCTATGCAACAACCAAATTTCGGAGGTAACTTTGTGAGACTTATCCACCGAGAGAACTTGAGCCAACTGATTTGAGCTATCGGGCTTCAAATCCAGGTAGTATAGCTTCCCCCTTCTAGTACCATAACCAATTGTCTTCCAAGTCCGGATATCCTTAAAAACACAAAGGGTAGGCCAAAAAATCTCAACGCAATGTAATGCACAAGTTATTTGAGCAACCGATAATAAGTTATGGTTAAGAGAAGGCACAACTAAAACAGAATCAAGATTTAAATTATTTGGAATAGTAATTGAACATTCTCCAATCACAGGTGAAGAGTTGCTATTAGCTGTAGACACAACATGTTCATTTGATGGTTTCATAGATCGAAAGTGGTGATTATAAAAAGTCATGTGATACGTGCTCCTGAATCAATTATCCATGTATTATTCCTACAAAGTACAGAGGTATGTAGAACTTTACCCAGGTTACCTGAAGTGGCAATGGCAGCTGAAGCTTCTGCAGGAGTATCAACTGAAGGTTTGACTGTTGCGGCTGAAGCTAGATGATTTAATTTTGAGTTGCATTTCCGTGAAGCCTTCGCTGGATCCCGCCAATCTAGATAGCCAATCAGATCGTAGCATCTTGATTTTGAGTGGCATGTTTCACCACAGTGAGTGCACATGCGTTCTGGTTTAACAGCAGTAGCACTGAACTCGCCACTGCCTTTCTGGTTCAATTCGAGTTTTGTACCAAATTTTCGCAATTGAGGCCAGGCTCGACGGACTATCAGGGCTATAGATTCGGTGTCTTCTGGTTCACCGTTCAGAGTGGCTCAATGGACAACATCTCTCCGTACATAAGCATAGGCATCTTCGAGATCAACTGGGGGTCCTTTCGAAGAACTTCACCCCGAATTTGTTTAAACTCAGTATCCAGTCCACTGAGGAAGATGTGCACTCTTAGACATTCAACAGATTTTCTATATGCAACAATATCATCCGGATTCTTCATAGAAACTTTATCACAATGATCCAATTCTTGAAAAATCTCAACTAACTCACAATAGTAGATTGACAGGGGACGGCCAACTTGTTTGGTAGAGAAGGCACATTGATTTAATTTGTGTCTCATTCGATCCGCCTAGAAGGCTTTGGCAAGGGCACTCCAAATCTCCCGTGCTGTGCGCATGCGCAAGTATTGTTTCATTATTTCTGGTGACATGGAGGTAAGCAACCATCCTCACTTTTTGATTTTCAGCATACCACTTTGCACAGGTGGAATCCATTTCCTTGGGGAGGGGGAGGAGGTCTTTTTACCCAGAATATATTCGAATTTATCTCGTCCTGAAATTTGCATCTCTAATATTTGGGACCACACATCATAGTTTGTTTAAGTGAGAATGATACCGGCATGAAAGCCAGAGTTTTCAGAATGAATGTGAATAACTAGGCGAATGCTTCAGAGGAAGCAGATTCAGATTGTTCGTGAACCATGTGAGTTTTGTGAAGATGATAATTCAAGCGTCCTGGTTCAGCTTGTTTAAAGAAGGTAGGGTTTTAGAGGATTCGGGTTGCTCTGATACCAAGTTTAGAGACAATATTTTCATTCATTAACTTTTTCTTTTACAATGACAAGTATATATATACACACATCCCTATACAATCTGTTAAGTAGGGAAGCAATATCTCTAATTTAGGTAGAATATTAGAGACGTTTATGTATGGTAAGATACCAACTTGGAGTCAATCACACTTTGATTTGTTAACAACTTTAGTCTGAGATATATTGACTCGAAATCAAATACTAAAAATTTGATTTTAAATCCCACAAAACAGGGGCAAAATCAATGTATGATAAGTATATAATTTTTTATATTAACTATTCTAACTAACTACCTAAATGCACGTGAATAATATTTTAAGAAAGTTTGAGGCCCATTAGTTTCAAAATTCGTTTTTTCAAAACTCATTTTCAACCACACATTCACCTATAAAATAATTTTACACGTAAATTCAAAAATTTTCCTACTTTTTAACCACATCGTCCAAAAAAATCACTATTCAAAAATACATTTATCCCCCAAAAAATGGCTCTCGAACAGGGGCATGTGAGGAGCATGTTAGAAATCTGACTCCACCAACATAAAAAAAAAGTAAGATTTTACCTATAAAAAAAAGATTTTGTAATTATTATCCATAAGAAGAAATAATTTTCAAAATGTTTCAATCGTGTTTTCCAAAACAAAGCTATCTAGCCAAACATGCCATAATCCTTTTTCCAACTCGGATGAAAATGAAATAGCTAATGTAAAATTTGTAAATGAGAAAAGGCAGCGGATCTGCTCCTTCTGTGCCGTTCAACACGCGGAAACATGTAATAATCCAATGTTACGAGTAGTACGTGCATGCCACCCACAGAAAGTTCATTAGCCACATGATTTAAGGTGCAGAGAGCACTTCAGGTTATTTCTGTTCTTCTGTGGGGAATTTTTCGTTCTCATTCTTTTTCCATTGTTGGGTTTCCGAATATTAAGAATCCCTGTTTCCAAATTAGCCATGAATAACAATAACTCCATCTTTTAGTGGTATGTCATGAGAAAAAAATGCGTTTACATTAATTATTTATGAATCTTGATTTGATTTATACAGGCTTGTTTTGTATATTAGAGGGAAGAACTAATGGCATATAAGGTGGATAATGAGTACGATTACTTATTCAAGATTGTTTTGATTGGAGATTCGGGTGTAGGAAAATCTAATATTCTTTCCAGATTTACGCGAAATGAGTTCTGTTTGGAGTCGAAATCCACCATCGGAGTCGAATTTGCAACAAGGACTCTGCAGGTTGGTTTTTATTTGTATGATGTGTCTATTATTTGTTTTCTTGATTTGATAAGATCCACTGTACATAAATGTGTTCAGCTAATAATAATTTCCTTTTTGTGCAATCAATGGATCTGTTATTGATGCATTTGTGCATGAGGGCTATCTTCCATTTTCATCATTTTTATGTACTTTTCCAGATTAAAGACATTAATCTTCTGGTTAATTTCACGTTGAATTGCGTGTCAAATATCTAAGTCGCTCATATTTTTACATATGTTGAGGAATCATTTTTATGCCATGTGTCAAACTGAATTTCACTGCCTGATTTAACATGAAACTAACCATGTCCTCCAAGGCTTCAACTTTTTGAAACATAAGACAATTGACGTTTTTGAACCAAAATCCTTTTATTTCAGCCATTCAGGTGCACCAGAAAAGCCTAAAAGAGAACTCTAATTGAATCTATTACGGGTGCTTTTCGAGTAAATCTGTTAGGTTTCCACATATTGCTGAAAATAGTTTGGTGCAGGTGGAAGGCAAGACAGTGAAGGCACAGATATGGGACACAGCCGGTCAAGAAAGATACCGTGCAATCACTAGCGCATACTACAGAGGCGCTGTTGGGGCACTCGTGGTGTACGACATAACCAAGAGGCAAACCTTTGAGAATGTCCAACGTTGGCTACGTGAATTGAGGGATCATGCCGACTCCAACATAGTCATAATGATGGCCGGCAACAAATCCGACCTCAATCACCTCAGAGCCATCAACGAGCAAGATGCTCAACTCTTTGCTGAGAAAGAAGGGCTATCATTCCTCGAGACATCAGCACTTGAAGCGCGTAACGTGGAAAAAGCCTTCCATACGATTATGTTGGACATTTATCAGATTATAAGCAGAAAAGCCTTGGTGGCTCAGGAAGCTGCTGCTAATATTCCTGGTCAGGGCACTGCCATTAAGATTGGGGATTACTCAGGCAACTCAAACAGGAGACAGTGTTGTTCTAATTGAGTATGGTACTGAAAATGTTGCTTATTTGTTGAGAAATATGCTGAATGAGGAGAAACCTTTTTTTTTTAGAATTATTTTCTTCAACTAAATCATTTTTTTAATCAGCGTTCAATGCTGAATCGAGCTGTAAATCATCCTATAATTATTAACGTTTAGGGAATGAAAAGATATATATTTTCCAGGAACAAGCCTTTTGTAAAAAATATTATTAATCTTCCAATTTTATCCAACTCACTCCCCGCTAAAAGTGCAATAAAAGTAAGTTTATTTCATTGAGACTGAGACTCTGACTCGTGGTTATTTTCGTACTAGCTATTTGAAGAAGATTATCATCATATACTAAGTTTGGAAAGTCCACATCTTTCTCGCAATCTCTATAAATGTATTCAAAAGAGTTCCCCTAGCATCTTCTTTGGATTGAATAGTAGGAACTCACTTTTAACATCACACACTCTCCTCCCTATTAATTCTCAGTTTGGTATAGATTTTAATTTGAATTAAAATCAACAATTAATTTTAACTACATATTTTATGAAATCCATAACTTTTCAACCATATATTTCATCAATTTTTATCAAAATCTATTAAAATTCTGAATTTAATCCTCAATCTCGTAATGTTAAAATTATTTACAGTTACAATCTAGGACATGGTAACTATTAATTTATGTATATTTTAATTATTGTCACTTTACTCAGTTCAGAACAACGTAATAACAGATCATCGGACAATGCTCCTAAGGATAATCGATGAATTAAGAATATAAAGAGATTGTGCCAAAAAAATTGTAATAAAAATAGTTTTTGTAATTTAAAATTAAAATTGATAAGTTGCGTGGACGATGTTTTGTACGACATTATATAGCACTTTTGAAGCCCCCAAGGCACATCTCCAAGTGGTAAAAGGGAAATGTGGAAAAACTCTAACTTTGCTTAAGGCTGTCGCGTCAAAGGTTTGAATCCTGAAATATAGATTTTGTAGTTGAATAAGTGCAAGTGTACAAGCAGTCTTCCACCCTGTACCCTTGGAAACATAACCTGCGATTTACCTCTTTCACCAAAACTCAGTCGTGGCAATGGGCCTAGCCGAGCCGGCTCGGCCCATGATCGCACGAGCATGAGCCGAGCTCGTGGCTCGTGTGCCACGAGCTGAGCACCCACTCGACTCGTGGCAAATTGGGTGAGCTCGGC